GAGAATTGCTAGAGAGGGGAATTGCCGGAGGTGGAAGTTGGTGATTGAGAATCTGACACGTATGTTTTCAGTGTAGTCTGTTGGATGACTAAAGAATGTTCCAGAAGCTGATGAAGGATCGTGGCTCAGTTCTGGTCATGAACCAGGACACACAGCCAGAGGGATTCAAAACTGGATTACTGTAACACGCTCTACATGGGGCTGCCCCTGAAGAGTGTTCGAAGACTACAGTTGGTCCAGAACGCAGCCGCGCGAGCGATATGGGTGAATCTAGATACACCAATATTGCCTATCCTCCCTGAGCTGCACTGGCTTCCTATTGGTCTCCGGACGTGCTTCAAGATGCTAGTTGTTACTTTTAAAGCCCTACATGGTTTAGGACCTGGCTACCTGAGAGACCGCCTCCTGCCACATACCTCCCAACGAACAAGAATATCGCACAGGTTGGGCCTTCTCCGGGTGCTGTCAACCGGACAATGCCGGCTGGCGGCCCCCCGGGGGAGGGCCTTCTCTGTTGCTGTGCTGGCCCTGTGGAATGATCTCCCCATAGAGATCCGGACCCTTACCACTCTCCCGGCCTTCCGCAAAGCAACCAAGACCTGGCTGTTCCGGCAGGCCTGGGGCTGTTGATTGATATCCAGCCCCGCTTAGATTGAATGGATGATGTGGATGTTGTATTTTCTATTTTAAAATTTTAAATGTTTCTTTGTCTTGTTGTGAGCTGCCCAGAGTCCCAATGGGAGTGGGCGGCATACAAATTTTATTAAATTCCAATTCCAATTCCAAATTATCCAAAGGGATTTGAAGATGGCCAGAGAGTAATCTTCCCCAAACAGCCAGCTGTTCCACTCTTTTTACAACAATTGATAATAAAGACCAACTGAACCTTTGATTGTGATGTTATGATATTTCCAGCCTCTTGGCAACTTGTAACTGATTTTATGATGATTTCATAGAAGAAACAAATTGTGATATTCTACACGGGGCATGAAAGCCTAAATTACCAAGTTCCATTTTTGATTTCAACCAAACTTGGTACACAGATGAGTTTACTCTCTGGAAAAAAAAATACTGTGGGGGGTAAGACACCCCTAAGACCACTCGGGGTGCGTGTTCTGTTAAGATACATCCTGTTGTGCCTTAAAATGGCTTCTATCATACTGCCATAAATGGCTTCTACTGTGCAGTGCGGTGGAGTTGCCATGGTAACGGCTTCACAGTTCTCCACAAGGGGGCTCCCTCTGGTAAGGGGGAAAAAAAACCCCAACATTAGAAATTATGTTTGGTGTGGAGATTTTCAACAAAATCAGGGCTGTCTAATACAGGATTCGGATAAATAAATACCCCGGGCAACGGCGGGTTATCAGCTATAAAATTGAACTTGCTTCCTTAAGGTTGTCTTAAAGCAATATCGAAGGCTTCTTAGTGCCACATACCACTGCACCACCTCTTTATCAACTTTTGCCTTCTTTTGAGCCTCCCTACTCTAGAGTTAGAACCGCCAGATCAGGGTCTGTAAATAATAAAGCTGTTTTAAAAGCAAATGACAGATGTTTACTTTTGAATGCTGGAAGGGATGGGTGGGAGAGGCATGTCGTGACTCGAACCCCGGCGCCGTTCAGCTGGTATAGGTTTATCTATGTTTGAAAAAGGACAGAGAAGCCCGATTAGTTAGGTTCACAAATGGTGTCCAGCTTTTGGTGGAACTACTCCAACTCGTAGTAGAGCAATGACTCCAGGCTCAGATGTTGATCTTTTCCCCTTGCTTATATACAAGGTTGCTTGCTGATCCGTTCTATCCTCTACTGACTAAATATCTCGCTATATAAATAATACATGTACATCGATCATAGGATTCCCCTGAAAAAGCTGGGCTAGAAGAATTTATGTAAGATGCAGACACCTCTGGATTAGGGTACTATGCAAATTTTTCCTATAATTCCTAAATTATGTAAATTGAGGAACAGATAGAAATTATAGCTATTGGCCTAGGTAAAAAAGATTTTCTCTGTTCTTAAATTGAAAACATGAGGATAGTCCTGTGAATCAGGCCCAGAATGCAGTCAAGACAGCATTTGATCTCATGTAGTGGCTCTGTCCAATAGAAGTGTTGGTTGGTTGCTTGGTTACTCCACTGCTCCTCCTTCTCAGCCACCTGTTGGAATGTCCTTGGTTCCCACAGGAGAACTTTTTGTTTTGACTATAAAACCCCAGCTATCTATTTCCCCACCTCTCTGTCCCTTCCTCTTCCTTGTGGCCTCCAAGATGGCCTCAGCCAGGCTCGCTTCAGGGTTGACAGGCCCATCAGATGCATCTAAAGAGGCCAGGAGTACAGTCCTCTACTCACACTGTTGGAATTAATATTTATCTGTAGAAAGACAGTGAGTCTATTTGTCTTACTATTTTAGCCAATACAGTATTTGCAACATTTCTTTACACTTTCAATAAAGCTGTCTTTCAACTCAGAGCCGAGGTGGCGCAATGGTTAAATGCAGCACCGCAGGCTACTTCAGCTGACTGCAGTTCTGCAGTTTGGCGGTTCAAATCTCACCGGCTCAGGGTTGACTCAACCATTCCATCCTTCCGAGGTGGGTGAAATGAGGACCCAGACTGT